AACCCTTATGTATATTCACATCATTATATATTTCTTACCCCACCCCCACATGATCCTATATCCATCACCAATCGTATACACATCGAATTGTGCTAATTTACTACAAAGTTACGCAAACCAGCATCTACTATCTAAAATATGTACTGCGTGACTCTTAATACGTCCCTGCCGAATGTTACAGCGTTCGATGATCACGAGGTCTTGTTTATGTCCGGTCTATCTCTTATCTGAATATACTGTATGCAGAACGATAACTAACCACTGTTACCGTTTGCGATCGATTGCCGGTTCGATAAGAGTGATAAGAGACCGACGCGCTGTTGTGATGTGTGTTTTAAATATTTAATTTACTTACTGACTACAAATTTTGACTTAACTCAGAAATGCCTTTTTTTGTTAATTACCCAATTTAAAAACGCTTTAGTAGAGATTATAAAAATTAGTAAGATTGTGGTGATTGTGGTCGATATAAAGTACTTAAAGTTGTAAATTATTACCATGGGTCATATGAACTTTTTGACTTGTTTTGACCTCTCTATTACCCATTTAAATAATGACTACCATAACGTTTACACTCTGTATAATATCCAGGATGTGAAATTAAGTGTCAATGAGATCGTCAACCTTACTAGTCGTGAGTGCATTATTTATTGCGTTAAGAAATTAGTTACCTTATACCAGGTTTGGAGAGATTTGCAAAAAAATGCAAGCAAAACACAAGAAGTGTTTGAGCAACGCCGCAAACAAACAAACCTGTAACCTACTTGTATCATGCATACATACACACGTAAACATGCGCGACAAACACATCCCCCTTTCTGTGGTAATCGCTCGAAAAGACAGCCTCAACAGCGTGTTTGTCCGTTGTTTGTATTGTTCTAAACTGATAAATAACTAAATCCTGCACATAAAAGCTTTGCAATATGACAACAAACGGACGCGGGAGCCTGCTTGTTACTGGATGTTGAGACATGTCCATGAGTGCATAGTAGCCGCCAGCAGCCGTCTGATGATTTAGTAGTCCGAAGGGGCAATTTCACCCTGGAGGATGCTTAGAGGGAAGGAAGGCCGCGAATAAGTAAAGCTGTATTGCAAAACTTCTATAGTATCCTTGTACAATTGACCCAACGAGATCAATCTACTTAAATCGGTAATTATGGTCAAACCGATAGATTGCCTTAAGGGTTAAGGGTTAGATTAGAGCTGGGAATATCATACCTGAACTCCCTATTAAAGTAAGCGTAGATGATTGGATTCAGGGCCGAGTTGAAATAGCCCACCCAGAAAACCAGGGTCACCACCCAGGGGGGACTGGAACAGAGATCGCCGCCGCATAACGACGTTGCCAGGTACCTGGAACAAACAATTACATTAAGGATTAATGTATCCACAATCTACAAATTGGGCAGTCCACACGAAGCGGACGACGGGAAAAGTGAGGTTTTAAGTCGTTTATGATTGGCCTAATTTGTACAGGGCGTCCCAACTAAAATGGAAAGCAGTTTTATGAGCAAAGTGGAAAATATCGGGTGGCTTACCCCTATAACTGTTTTATTATTGAAGATAGAAAAACTGACAGCATTTTTAATAACCTAGATTAGATATTTGTTGAAGTAACCCTAGCGACACCTTCAATTCTTTGTTACGGGTAACTAGAATAAAATAATGTGATAATAGTGCATAGGTACACCGAATGCAGATACGTGTAATTTGAAAATAAAATAAGAGTGTGTGGTGTCAAAGTATTCGTAAGAAAGTGGTCTCTTAGAAAAAGCGGACGAGCATTTGAAAAATCAAGTGCAGTAGAACCCTGATTATCCGGAATAATGTGGACACAAGCGCTAAAACGGAAATAAATATTTAGACTCATAATGCTTTTATTGAAAAAAGTAGGTAAATGCGTGTGTTGAGTATACAGGGTGTCCGCAAAGTTGGGGTTTTCCTTTACACGACGTGTAGATCTTGAAAACATAAGCATTTTTTCTTAGTACCATATAGACCAATGTCTTAAGGGAACCGAGATAAAGGGCTCTGCTACATCAAAAATATCTGAATACCGTCCTGTAGCCGCGACCCGGGACATCACCGATTGGTACAAGGTCTCAACCCGACGGCAGAACTGGGTCGGGGTCAGTGTGTCAGGTCAGTATGCAACCTTCAACCGACGGTTACGGTCACGCATGTAGAGGTAATCGCGTAGACGAGAATTCCTCAACAAGCACTAGAGACGTGGCTAGAGAAGTGCAAGTATCGAAAACTAAAGTGTGGCAAACGCTGCGTGAAGAGGGGCTGTATCCGTTTCACGTCCAACGTGTACAAGCCCTTCAACCTGACGATTTTCCAGCAAGAGTGCGGTTTTGTGAGTGGTTGTTGCATCAACATGACAATAATCCGGACTTTTTGAAGTGCATATTGGTGACAGACGAATCTACGTTCACGCGTAATGGGGTGAATAACTTTCGCAACACTCATGTTTGGTCAGTAGAAAATCCGCACGCTGTCCGTCGGGCACATTTTCAACAGACATTTTCGGTGACTGTTTGGGCTGGCATGGTGAACGGTATGCTCATTGGACCATTTATTCTCCCAAATCGATTGGACTTTTTACGCAACATTTTGCCTTCCTTGTTAGAAGATGTGTCATTAAGTGTAAGACAATCAATGTGGTTTCTGCGTCTGCTCGGTAGCGCTTCAGCTGATTTCATTTTCTGTTGGAGCGGTATGATTTCGGGCAGAGACGTCAACTGGAGAGTGAGTACTTTTTCCTTTATTTTTTTTTACTTGGTCGCCCTCGTTTCACTACACATTACCTTTGTTATTTCAAAGGGTAGTTGTTTCTGAAAAGGAAAACCCCAACTTTGCGGACACCCTGTATACCTATATAAAGTTACCTAAAATATAAACATGTGGATACAAACATTCATATTTACGAGTATTTAGTAACAAAGGAAGTAATTTTTAACTGTTCACGTTTTGCATTGTTCCTATGTTTGGCAGCAATATCCCTCCATGTTTTGTTGTTCGACGGAAGTCAACGCCTTTTGTAGAGCTTCTAATGCCTCAGAATGTGATATTTTGGCAGAGATTTCTCATCGTCACCAGCATCGCTTAAAACTGTCTCATCGCCATTGTTACAAACAGTTTTTATTAGTTCTGTATCAGTTATTTGTTTCTAATTGAAAAAATCAAGTAAACTGAAAACTTTGGTATTTGTAAATTTTAGAAAATCTTTAAAACGACTGTGAGGTCGTCGTCTCAAAATCATATTTTCCCCTGTTACTTGATCAAAAACGAAGCGATTTACAGGATCCGTGGCATTCTAGATCGAAAAATGAAAATTGGAATGAAAATGACCTTATATGTCAAATATTGACAAGTGAGGCGTTGTTGAGTTTAGAATGTCATTGTTGATCAAAATCAGTAAAATTGTATAGGGTGTCCCATTTAAAACTCGAAAGTTGGAGTCGTTTCCGGCCAAACCGGAAGTACGTCGACTCAAGTGAATATGTAAAAAAATGTAAATTCATCTATATCCCGCAACTTCCAAATTTCGTTTTCCTATTTTCAATAATAAAAAAGTTATAGGGGTAAGCCACCTTGGAGAATCACCCGGTATATCAAGAATCTGTTTTATAATATATATATATATATATATAATATGTTACATGTGCATATTTTAAAATCATTTAATTACATATAGGGTGTTCCATAAGTTTGTGTTATAGTAAACATATATTTTTTTAAATAGAACACCCTACATTTTATTTCATATTTGACTTCTGCATCTAAAAACAAGAAGTTTGATATCATATAACATATGGTTTCGATTATCAATCGGTTAGGTATTTGGTCAAACGTCTGAAAAAATACCCAGCTTTAACACCGCCATTTTTGAGATATTTATATAAATCTTAGTACACAAAAATTTTATCATTATCGATTTTAAGCTGATCTAGAAAAAGTGCTGTAGCTTCTTTCTATGTATGCAGCGCATCTCAAAACGCAAAATACTCCTTTTGCCAAAACTTTCAAATGTAACACCCTGTATATTTCTATATCGTTTCTTGGTGAACTTTTTTTTTAATTCGGGTTTATATACAGGGTGACTTCGAAGTTGAGTCATTTATTTTAACAGTGAGTAGATCTGATCAAAAGAAATGTTTTTTTCCTTTACCATTTTTCTGGTAAAATTAAAGTAACAAAGTTATAGCCCTTTGGAAGTTTGAGTACCGCCCTGTCTCAATAATAATATTATGTGCTCGTGTTTGGCGACAACGGATATAATTCGCCTTATCGGTTCATCGCATCGGAAACAAAAAAGCGAAAGAATTTGGAACGATGTTTTTACAATTATTTCATTCAGTTGTATACAGTCAGTGTCAGTCGGTAGTGGATAGTGGTGTCTGTTGCGTGGCTCAAACGAAATAAAAAATGGCACATATTTATGCGGATCAGTTTCCCAATCGAGTGCAACCAACCCCTCGTGCCTTTGTTAATGTAGTACAACGGGTTCGTGAATCATTTGACTTAAGACTTCACATATGGACGGCATGCCGGTGCTCCAAGACCTCACGATCAAATACAGGTCCGCACTGAAATACTTGTCGGTAGGATACTTTATAAAACAAGGTAAATTTTTTTTTTATTTTTTTTATTTTTACGCACATATTTTGGTTTATCTTCCTTCTACAATCATTATCTGAAAATTAATGACTCAACTTCATACCCTGTATACAACTTTTTTCCAAATGTTTTTGAGTTATTGCTATTAATTAAAAAAAAACAAATACATCTGATATTCAAACATGAAATCAAATCTTTTATTAAAACAATAGCTTTTATTCAATTCAAACGACTCGTCTATACGATGTTCCATGTCCTCGGGTGTTGCAGGTTTCTCCTGTCAAACCTCCCCTTTTACATGGCCCCAGAGAAAGAAGTCGAGAGACGCCAGATCGGGAGATCTCACTGGCAAATTGCACGTCTCTCCCTATCGCCAGCTATCTAGATATTTCCGCACTATTCGATGGTAGTGTGGTAGCCTTAATGGAAAAAAAGGATTTTTCCTGGGTAGTTTTCTGAATTGAAGAGTATTATATTGAAATAATAAACTTCGTGATCTACGCTACAATATCCATTTACTACTAAATTTATATCATTTCGGCCATTCGCATGGGCGTAGCCTGTTAATTCCAGTTCGCTGATCTGAAAAACAATATCGCTGGCAACCTATCGAATTGACTTTATAATTGTTTGCCACGTTTTATGCACATCATCCTGTTATGGACAGACACATGTTCATAGTTCATTGAAACTGCATACATATCGAACAAAACCCAAATTACAAAAAGTAAAAAAATATATATACAAGGTGGCCCAGCAATGTGTGGACGGAATATTACTCATAAGCAAATACATTTTGGGAAAATCTAGTTATGGCATGTTATACACCACATTTGAGGGCACATTTCTAAAATATTGGCAATTTTACAGGGTGTCCCAATTTTGACCTACATATTAGAGTTGTGATTTTTTAAATGGAATGCCGCAAATTTTATTGCATATTTGAATAAACTAATTCAAAAGAAGAAGATTGATATAGTATACTATGGCGTTTTGGTAATTAACTACTGAGATGTAAGGTGTTTTGTCCAGAAAAACCGTCCACTTCGGCAACCCCTCAATCCGCCATTTTGAAATTTGGAGGGCTGAATTTTGTATCAAAACAAACTTACACACCTCAGCTATTATCGTATTTGTAACTTTTTCGAATTTTCATTTTTGCTCATACAGGGTGGTCAAAAACGCGAATTGTACTTTTTCTGAAAAATTTCAAATGCATCACCCTGTATATTTGCGCAAGTTTGGATTCAATTTTTATAAGCTTTTTTTGGTATAAGATTTGATTCAGATAAAATCACTAGATTTTGAGTTATTAAGCTTTTAATAGAACAACACACCAAAATTAAGAAAAAAAATCACATCATCCATGGAAACAAAAGACAAACAGTGGGCTAGTTCCATATTATCACTAAAAGTACAGATTTGACGTAAAAACTAATAACAATCAGAACAGTATAAATCAGCTTCAACTTTGATATGAACGTCGAAATTGGGACGCCCTGTATAATGGCCAATATTTTATAAATGTGCTCTCAAATGTCATGTATAAATATATTTTCCCAAAATGTATTTGTTTATGAGTAATATTCCGTCCACACATGAATGGGCCACCCTGTATATCTAGTAATACAGGTTTTATCTGGCCGACAACAGACTGTCAACCATTTCTAAAAATACAACCTAAAGCTTTGCTAGTGCTGTTTACAATTTGATCAAAATTCATCCTACTGTTAAATATCACTGGACAACAAATTTTAGTTTTTTAATTGTATCTTGTGGGAAAAGTGCACTTCTTTGTTAATTTTTTCGCGCTGAATCCAAAAATGATAATGAAATAAAAAAATTAGTTGCGGTTTAGAAAAAAAACTTTTTATTTTTAAGGATATATTAAAAAAAAGTAACAAGATTCATATACTTATAAGAATCACTATATGCGCTGTCTTTTTGCCGTTCTTTTATGGATCGTTTCTGGAGCATCTCTACCAAGAGTCCAACAGTAGTCTGCAAGCATGGAAGGATTCCACTTTCCCTGGTACCTTTTTTCCATTGTTGAAATATCCTGATGAAAACGTTCGCCGTGCTCATCACTTACAGCTCCGCAATTGTCAGGAAAAAGGTCCAGGTGTGAGTGTAGGAAATGTATCTTACGAGACATATTACAGCCCATCTTTTGATACGATGACAGCATATTTTTGACAAGGGTTTTATAGTTGTCAGCTTTTCTATTTCCCATTAGTGACCACCAGACGGAAATCATTCCAAGCAGTTTTTTCAATACCTGTTAAAGTGTTTTCAAACTGTGTATCTTTCAAAATATGTCGAATCTGTGGCCCAACAAAAATACCTTCTTTAACCTTTGCCTCACTTAGTCTTGGAAATTTCTGACGCAGATATTGAAAAGCTGACCCATCTCTATCTAATGCCTTGACAAAGTTTTTCATTAGGCCCAACTTGATATGCAGTGGTGGTAATAAAATTTTTTTACGAATCTACTAATGGCATATGCTGTACATTTTTTTGACCTGGCTCTAGGAATTGACGAGCAGGCCAGTTTTGTCTGGTGTAATGAAGTGCCTTTGCCCGACTGTCTCATTCACACAAAAAACAGCAAAACTTTGTGTAGCCTAGCTGCAGCCCAAGTAAAAGTGCAAAAACTTTCAAATCGCCACAAATATGCCATTGGTGCTCATCGTATTTTATGCATGTCAATAGGTACTTCATATTGTCATATGATTCTTTCATGTGAACTGCATACCCTACAGGAAGAGATGGTAAAATATTTCCAATATGCAATAACACTGCCTTTAAACTCAATGTTGAACTGTCTATAAACAATCTCCATTCTTCTGGGTTATAGTTTATATTTAAAGCCGCCAGTAAGCCGTTAATGTTACTGCAGAAAACCAAGTTATTCTCCATATTGAAAAATGGTTCTAAGTCTTTGTGGCGTTTACGAAAAACACATACCGAAACATCGTCTTCTAACAAGTTCCACTGCTGCAGTCTTGATCCAAGTAACTCTGCCTTACATTTTGGAAGTTCTAAATCTCTTACAAGATCATTTAATTCTGACTGTGTTATTTTGCGCGGTCGGTGGCTTGACGTGCTCGGTATAAAATCAGGATCTCTTGACGTTGATGGCATATCTTCTTCCTGACGAATCCCTCGATCGCCATGATCTGATTCGTTTTCTGATTCGCAAGTGTAGGATTCTGGGGGTTTTGGAATAGGATTTTCGTCACTGTGAGACACAGGTCTCATCGCAGATGGTATGTTTGGGTAGTTAATAAACGATTTTTTTTCTTGGACATACCTGTGGCTTGCCCAACACAAGGTACCATGCAAAAGTAACAATCATTAATATGATTTGTAGGCTCTCTCCAAACCATTGGGACAGCAAAGCGCATAGACCGTTTTTTGCCATTTAAGCAGCTCCTCAGACTTGAAGCACATGTATTACAGCAGATGTGGGGTGCCCACTGTTTGTCTTGATCACCTAGTTTACAACCGAAATAAAGCTGATATGCTTTTGTTATTAGTGGAGTAATAGACCGTCTCGGAGACGCAAAAGTCACAGCACCACACACGTAACAAAACTGATCTGGATTGTTTACACACTTTCGAGACATCTTGCATGAACGCTGTCAGCCAACTGAGGAAAAAATGGCTAATATAAAACAATATAATGTACACGTATGTATAACGTAACACAATCATGCCGATTACATCATCTTTCCTTGCCGAATATAAAAATGTAGCACGTGCATTCTTGTGAATTACAGTATATTAACACTGTCACAGCAGGAACACATATAATTACCGTATCTCTAAAACTTGAACTAATATTGAAAAAATAAGTTTAATTCCGGTTTTAGCACATTAAAAATAGTAATATTTTGTTGATTTCATTTAGGATATTTTTTGGCTGTTGATCAGTGTATCACACCTAAATCACAAACCATTTCGACTGGTTACATTTCTTCCAATGTTATAAGGGTAAATTCCCAAACAGCACGAAATAGCTGACTGTGGTCGGACGAATGACGAGTGGATCGTATCTACTATAGCACCAGAATCGGCGGCATCTGGCGGTCACACTGATGCCTCGGTGGATGATGCGAACTGGGGTATACGAGGGTAGTTTCCCACATTTTTTTCAGGCGCCAGAAATTTTTTATTTGAGAACATGAATTCACCACTGGAATCGTTGATCTTCTGAGCTATTTTTCTAGTAGTCGCCAATTCTTTCTACGCGTTTTTTTCAGACGTGAAATCCGTTTAGAAACTTGCTAACTTCTCCTTCTCTCTTCTTGAGACACCCCTCGTAGTTCAGCCAAGGATTTGTTTGTTGCTTAATTCTCATAGTCTGTAGTGAGGATCAGAGTACACTTGACATCAGTTTTTATTGTATCATCGATTTGATAATCACAAAATGAACACAAAACCACTACACTGGGGTAATATAAATTCCATAACTTTAAAAGCGCGGCGTATTTGTCGAAAAACTCGTAAGTGCGCTGTAGTGAAGTGATAAATCATCTGGCGAGGATTTATTGCTTTCTCCGGCGGTTTCCTATTGAACGACGGTGTACGCCACCGTACGTACTTTAGAAAACATTTTGATGGCTATTATCACATTTCGCCCACTTCATATCACCAGCACAATGTCCGCACAAAAGATTAACTGTCGCGATATGATGTTAAAACTATTTTCAGGTAGAAGAATGCTGTCTTTGTCTTACATGATTGTTACTAGCATATTAATTAAAACTACTTGTTTTAATTAGTTTTTATCTTTATTAAAATACGTATACTTTATCTGAAGTCACTTGAAACACTGTGAAATACCGGGTGCGTTTTATATATCTATATTTAACACGCTCTGTTGCTGCAAAAATCGCCAAATTTCGCAGCAAATATCCCCCGTATAAGATCAAAGGCAGTTTCACCGGTCCACGTGGAGTAAAGCACGCCTATGCGTGGACATAGCCAATGAGAAAGCGTGTATTTCAGAGCTCGGAACAAGTGCAGGTGGCTACTGAAAATTGAAGCAGTTTAGCCAGTGCCGTGTAGCGGTGAATAAACGTGTTTTCTTTAGTCTGTCCGTGTTTTTTCATAGATTTTATTAGTTTGTGTGTTTTTGACTCTTGAATACTCAGTTTACTTGTTGATTTAATTGTTGTGTTGATTGTTCTTGTGTGTCCTAAATATGGCTCTTTGGAGACCTTGGAAAAATGCTCCAAGCCACGAGGAGATGGTTGATGAACCTGTGCAGGCAGAATTCTTTCATAAAGATTTAGAGGAACAGACCCAAAGAGTAATCCTAAATATGTATGATTGTCTGAAAAACGAAAATCCAGATTCCTCGCAAAATCAAATTTTGAACAGAATTTGTATCCTGACAAAAATCAGTCGGTCTACCATTTATCGGGTTATAAAAAGGGGAGATGTAGTCAACCATTCCTTCCACAGAAAGCGCATAGGGCAAAAATTAAAAAGAATAGACGTGGGTTTTCAGGAAGATATTCGTCGTATAATATACGGATTTTATAAAGAAAATTTGGTGCCCACGTTGGAAATGATACGGGATAAATTAAAAGATTATCCTGAAGTTTTTTACAATTACAAATGTTAAAATCTATAGAGAGCAGAAAAGAAATCTGATTTACCTGGATGAAACGTGGTATTATACCCATGATGTTGTGCATGTGCAGTACGGCTGGGTTGACGACAGCAACAAGTGCATTTTAAATGCACCATGCAACCGTGGAAAACGAATCATTATTCTCCATGCTGGCAGTGAAAAGGGATTTATACCTAATGCCTTGCTGTTATCTGCCAAAAATATCAAAGAATCATGTGCCGACTATCATGAGGACATGACCTCCGACTTATTTGAAAAGTGGATAGAGCAGCAGTTAATACCAAACATTTCCCCAAATTCAGTGATTATTATGGACAATGCGCCATACCATTCCCGACAGAAAAACAAAATTCCGAATACAGGCACAAAAAAACAAGACATTATTGATTTTATGAAAGATAAGGGAATGGAAATACCACAAAAATCAACCAAAGCCATATTATTGGATCTTATTAAAAGACAAAAATTTGAAAAAGAGTATGTTGTTGACAATCTGCTTCAGCAAAATGGCCATGAAGTATTACGTCTACCTCCCTATTACTGCATTTTTAACCCGATTGAGTTGGTCTGGGCTGCTTTAAAAAAAAAGTAAGAAAACATAATCAGACCCCTCAATTAAGTGAATCGCTATTGGCCACAATAAGAGATGCAGTATCTCATATTGCTGCCACAATCCTATGGAAGCAGTGTTCTAGGCATATTATTGAAAAAGAAAATGAATATTGTGTTTTGCCTCCTGTAAATCCCGTTGTAATTCCTCTACAAGATGACTCTAGCGACAGCTCCGAAGGCGAGGATGATATATAAATACCTATAATGTAAGTCTTTATATACCTTTTTATATACCTACCTGCTATGTAAATATTTGCCTATGTCAAACGTTGGAATTCTGTAATTTTTCCATTTCTTAACTTTCGGTCAACATAACTTAAACTCCCAATATAAGTATTTTTTATCCCAAATCAAAAAAATAAGAAGATAGTAAAATCCGTTTATTGTGATATAAAAACATTATTATTATCGTTCTAAATAAATGACTGCACGCCTATGATACGTCATGAAAAGGTTTTTATGCTATTTCAAGTGACTTGAGATAAAGTGTACATGCACCAGTCGGCGGCTGTCATTCAAGGGCGGATGCGGCGATTCAACAGACTAACTAAAGCGGCTCACACACTGATCTAAAGCTGTATGAGACAGACTTTGGATGTGGCGTTTGAGAACTTACAAGCTCTATGTATTGAAAGAAACTGGCGAGATTTCTTGCGAAAGTGTCAGTCCCACTATTTTTTCACACAGAAGCAGCCATGCAGGCAGAAGCCTAAATGCCAGGACATCTCGGCTGCTATGTAAGGGTATGTTTTAGATCTCTTTTTTGGGATGGGTTGGACATGCGCAAATTTCCAGTTTTCTGGGAAGGGTTGTTAAGAATAAAATCTTCTGAACAGTTAACTTCGTTTGGTTTCTGTTGTATTGTAACTAAGACATACACCGTATCAATGAGTTTAAAAAAAGCTTTACCATCCTAACGCCAACTGATTGACCTTCATGTAATCTATATTTAAACCAAGTTCATTCACTTTTTCCTCCGGGATAAAAATGCACATATTTTAAGCTGTTCACGTCAACGCTTCCTCACTGTTATAGCAACTCCATTATTCCGCGATATAGAATGTAATGCAAAATCCCTGGGGATTTGCATTCCCGAGCCGAGCTCGCGTGTTAACGATAGACACCGATTGTTTTTTGTGATATATCCTTGCTGCGGCTGTTAGCAATTCCTTTCTTTCGCACTTTCACTCTACCGTTTTATGGGGTATTTCAACTATTAGAAGGGGCGCAGGCACAGAAGGTACTTCAGGAAAGACGTTAGGCTCGATCAAAATATACTAAGTGACATATAAATCCGAACACCTAGTTTAAATGGTTTTATTTTGATAAAATTTTGTATAAGTACTTAATGAAGCATAATAAGTAAATGATAAAACCCTGATGTGCTACGCATTCTCCAACGCGCCTAGGCATGCTTCTGATCAGGTGGTCAATGTCCTCCTGTGGTAACTCATTCCAGGCGCCCACCAACTCCTCTCGAAGTGCTTCTAGAGTCTGAGGAGGACATTGCAAATTGAGCAATCTCCTACCCATCATATCCCACACGTGCTCAATTGGGGATAAGTCGGGAGATCTTGGTGGCCATGGTAACAATGTGACATCATTATGTTGAAAGAAGTCTATTGTGGCTCTTGCAATATGTGGTCGGGCATTATCTTGTTGGAAAGTTGGATCTGCCAGGGTGTCAAGATAGGGTAAAAGATGGGGTTCTAGAACTTCGTGGATATAACGCTGCGCGTTCATGTAACCTCTGATGAAGATTAAAGGTGACCTGGAACCATAAGCTATAGCACCCCAAACCATAACTCCAACAGTGTGATGAACATGTCTTTCAACAAAAAACTGTGGATTCCTCCTTTCACCACGTCGCCTTCTAACCCTGGCACGACCATCGTGCATGCCTAAACAAAATCGAGACTCGTCACTAAAGACAATATTGTTCCATTCCTGATCCCAGAGTGACCGTTGTCTGCACCACTCAAGGCGATTACGTCGGTGTTCTCGAGTTAAAGGGAGGACCCAGTGTGGCCGGTATGAAAACAAGCCAAAACTTCTCATTCGTCGGTAAACACTTCGCATGCCAATAGGTCTTCCGTGTTCTGCAAACCATTCATTTGCAATGGACCCGGTAGTGAAGAAACGGTCCCTTAAGGCCAATAATCTTAGGCGGCGATCTTCACGGTCTGTTGTTCTACGGCGGCGTCCAGTGCCCCTTGCTCTTTGCGTACGGCCTTCTCGAAGCCATGCCTGACAACACCTAACCACAGTGTCTACACTTCTTTGCACTCTAACTGCAATTGCCCGGAAAGAAAGTCCAGCTTCCCGAAGTCCCACTATACGGCCCCTATCAAACTCACTAAGTTGACGAAATCGTACAGGTCTCCGTACTCTAGGCATCGTAACCGATCGTAAAGGATGTCAAGAACCAAAATCCGCCAACGTTGATTCTTTAATGCGGCTGAAATATTCATTTTTAGAGCGTTAGTGAATTAAAAAAAAGCAGTATATAAACCGGAATGTCCAACTGATAAGGCTGAACATTTTTTCACTTGTTATTTACAGTAAGATAAATACATTCACCAACTTTTGTTAAAATAAAACCATTTAAACTGGGTGTTCGGATTTATATGTCACTTAGTATAGCAAGAGAAATCTACACAAGGTCTTCAAAACGTTAAACAATCCATCGCCGAAAATACTGACCGGAAACAAAATTGATCAAGGCAAACGTACGATTTCATTCAGGCAATATAATGGTAACCCTGACAATGACCTTGACCTTCAAGGTCATTATAAGTTCAAACTGATTTTCTTCTATATTTTAGACTCCAGAAATCGAAAGAGGGGAAAATTCCAAGTTTGAATACGACCTTGACCTTTACCTTGACCTAAGTGGTCGATACAAGGTCAAAGCGATTTTCTTAAATGGGACTATACTTTTGACCCCGGAATTCGGAATAGGAGAACATAGGTTTGGATATGACCTTGACCTTGGAATCACTCACTGGTCGACCTTGACCTTGACTGATCCACTTTGCCTTCACTGGAATGACCACTGGTTGACCTTGCCTTCACTGACCAGGACACTCTTCCACCTTGCCAAAGACTAATCCACCTTGAAAACTGATATTTTCGAAATTTTCAAAAACAAATTTGAGAAGGTTTCTGATTGATCAGAGTTTTGATACCTTTGATGAGTTCTTCTCTTGTAGTTATTTTTAATGTTTCATTTGTGTACAATTTGTTTTATTGTCATCTTTTGTTTTACTGTTGTTTAACTATTATTTTGTTCCTAGTTTTTAGTTTTTGTTGACCACTTATATATGTTTTACAAGAAGATAAATGAATCTCAATTTGAATTTGAATAGTCGTAGACATACAAGCAACATGTGACGTGAACTATGCTTGCGATTCACCACGGCATGCAAGTGCCTGCTACTAATTACACTTGGAAATAATGTAAATGCATAGCCAATGATGGGTCCGCTTTAGGAAAGGGTTTCGCTTTACAGTCCAAATTATAATAAAACTCACCACAGAAAGAATGGCATCCAACAGACCAAAAACGCTGACACGATAATCCCCAACGTCCTAGCAGCCTTTCTTTCTCTCTTCATGTTCGAGCTCCTCGACCCCGCCGCAGTCTCACCGTCTGACGCGGGCGTCTGATGGCCGGTGCTCGCCGGTGCAGACGCACCCTTAGCGCCACTGTTGCCGTCGTCTTCGTACGCGGCTGCCATCGCGGCGGCCGCCGCCTCGTCTACGCTGGCTCTTAGCTGGGACGTTAACCCGGCGGCGATGCCGTTGATTTGGAGGTGCTTGTTGAGCAGCGCGGCGGCTACTTTGCTCCTGAAATGAGAAATTGTGATAAATATTATTATAATAATTTTGGATCTATAAGGTATATGCCTTCCTCTGGTTCTAATCTAGGCCCCTTGTTCTCTATTATTGTAAATGAGAAGTACCTGCAATTCGATGTCAACTTTTTGCAAGATCCACTCCAGTTTCTGAAAGTTTTGAAAATACTAATGTTTTTAAGAATTTTAACATGTTTGGAAATTTTGAAACTCCGAGAATTTTGAAAAAAATTTGAAGATTTTGGGTATTTATAAAATTTTGAAGATATTGAAAATTTTGAGTTTTGAAAATTCTGAAAATTGTAAAAATTTCGAATATTTCGATAATTTTGCCTGATTTTGAATATGTTGATGATGAAGTTTTGAAGATTTTTTAAACTCTCAGAAAATTGAAAATATTCAGTATTCATAAGATTTTGAAGATACTGATAATTTTGAGTTTTGAAAATTTTTAAAAATCCCAAAAATTGTGAAAATTTTTAAAATGTCGAAATTTTGCATATATTGAACATATTGTGAAAATTTTGTTAATTTTGGATTTTAAACATTTTCAAAATCTTTGAAATTCTGAATTTATTGATAACCTTGTAACATTTGAAAACCGTTGAAGTTTTGAAAATTTTGAGAAAATTGGAAATTTTGAGAATCTCGAAAATTTTGGTATGGTATTGAAAACTTGGAAAATTTTGGAAACTTTGAAAGTATTGGATTTTGAAAATTTTCAAAATTTTGAAAACCGTGTAAGTTTTGGAAACTGAAGATTTTGAAAATTTTTAGAAAATTGGAAGTCTTGAGAATCTCGAAAATTTTGATGGTATTGAAAACTTTGAAAATTTTTGAAACCTTGAAGTTTTGGATTTTTTGATTAAATCTTGAAAATCGTAAAAATTTTGGAAACTGAAAATTTTGAATATTTCAAAAATTTGACAGTTTTTAAAATTGTGATAACACTTACTGCAGCGCCAAAGACGCTTTTTCCTGTTCTAGAGGCCGTTTGAAGTAGTATTTATAAGATTTTGAAGATACTGAAAAATTTGAGTTTTGGAAAAATTTAGAAATTTCAAAAATTGTGAAAATATTGAAAATTCTGAAAATGTCGAAATATTGCATATATTGAACATATTTTGAAAATTTTGTTAATTTTAGATTTTAATAATTTTTAAAATTTTGAATTTTTTGAAAACGGTGTAAGTTTTGGAAACTGAAGATTTTAAAAAATTTTGAGAAAATTGGAAATTTTGAGAATCTTGAAAATTTTGATAGTATTGAAAACTTTGAAAATTTTGGATTTTTAAAATTTTGAAATACTCGTATTTGAAAATTGTGAAAATTTTGGAATCTGAAAATTTCGAATATTCCAAAAATTTGAAAATGTTTGAAATTGTGATAAGACTTGCAACGCCAAAAGACGCTTTTTCCTGTTATAGAGGCCGTTTGAAGTAGTATTTATAAGATTATGAAGATATTGAAATTTTTGAGTATTTGAAAATTTTGAAAAATTCAAAAAATTGTGAAAATTTTGAAAATTCCGAAAATGCCGAAATATTGCATATACTGAACATATTTTGAAAATTTTGTTAATATTGGATTTTAAAAATTTTCAAAATTGTTGAAATTCTGAATTTTTTGAAAATCGTGGAAATTTTTGAAACTGAAAATTTCGAATAGCTCAAAAATTTGTAAATTTTTAAAATTGTGATAAGACTTGCAACCCCAAAGACGCTTTTTCCTGTTCTAGAGGTCGTTCGAAGCTTTTTACATATGAGAAATTTTGTTTCGTCAATACAAATTGTTCCTTCTTCTAATAACGATGTTCGTTGTGTTGCTGCCCGCTAGAGACAACGTCAACCGATAGTGTCCACTCAGCCTCCGTTCTATTTATAATGCAATGTTTTATGTATGAAGACAGACGAAACAGTAAGCTGTATGTCAGCCTATACACTCTCTCTTTGTACCTTCCATTCCTGATTCCAGCACGCATTTGATGTTTGTGAGTGTGCTACGATACAAAGAAGAACAAAAGAATTCTATATCAATAAAAACTTCAAGAAAATTTGGGTTATTGCAAATATTAGATATATTTAAATGGATCAAATAAGGATGAAAATGAGTGAATGAACAGACGAATGAAGGGAAAAGGAAAATTTAGTTATTCCGGGTCTTTTGAAGAAAAATTACAATAGTAGGTCTTGAAGTTGTTCTGCATCTCTCTTGCTTAGAGAAGCGTTGTAGACGGGCTCTTCTTATCGTCGTACATTGTCAACGCGGGTGTTCCCCAGGGATCGGTATTGGTTTGGACATTAATAGTAATAACAACAATAATAACTTTTATTCCAAATCTAGAATCACAAATACATAATAATTATGTACAAATGATATAGATGAGGAACTAACGTCATACCCATGCAAAAACTAAAACGAAGCTTTCATGTATTCAGAAATATCGATAGCCGTTTTAGTTTTTTTATGGGGGTTGCGGTACCTAGCATCGCTTTTAAATGATTAGGTAGTTTATACGAGTATATATACAACAGATATAAAAAGTTTCTTCAGTTACTGTCAGCCTATGCTGAGGTAGCAAATCGTTCAGAGCTCTTGTACCGTATGTGTGATCATTTTGCGTGGGAGAATTGTTACTATTTTTCACTGAAATCATTCAAACATGTAAAGTGCACATACTGTCATTAAACCCATAGACTTGAATACGCCTCCACATGTATCATTGTTCTTATGATCCTTTGTTTAAAAAAATATTTTTTGCACTTTGCATACAAACAGTCCATTAGGTAAAATCTATTCAAAATTTGCACAACATAAAAATTTATGTATCTAGATAACATTCTCATCATTCCATAGCTGATGCTACTCAGTGTCAAAGCTGTTTTACTTATGTGTAGAGTCCAAGACAGAAGTCCACCTAAATGTATTCATAACACTTTAGTTTGCTGACTTATTTGGATCAGAAAGTGTATTTTGTTGTATATCAATTCGTGATTGTTTTGTTCTAAATATACTAAGTGACATATAAATCCGAACACCCAGTTTAAATGGTTTTATTTTAATAAAAGTTGGTGAATGTATTTATCTTACTGTAAATAACAAGTGAACAAATTTTCAGCCTTATCAGTTGGACATTCCGGTTTTTATACTGTTTTTTTTTAATTCACTAACGCTCTAAAAATGAATATTTCAGCCGCAGTAAAGAATCAACGTTGACGGATTTTGGTTCTTGACATCCTTTACGATCGGTTACGATGCCTAGAGTACGGAGACCTGTACGATTTCGTCAACTTAGTGAGTTTGATAGGGGCCGTATAGTGGGACTTCGGGAAGCTGGACTTTCTTTTAGGGCAATTGCAGTAGAGTGCAAAGAAGTGTATAGTCAACGCCAAACAAAGTGGCGTGCACGTCATCACGATAAAAATTCCCCGACCTAATGCCTAGGTTTCTATCACAAACAATTGCTCTATTGCAGTTTCATATTAATGTGATATATAAATTGTAAAATGGTCATTACTCTCTTATTATGGTTAATAGTCATATAAACATTGTTATTAAAATATCACATAAGTTGCTTTCTGATAAATTTAGACGCATTATGCGAAATAAAATGTTTTGCAAACGCTCCAATCACTTATCGACATGTAAACGCACTAAACCGATTTCGCAGCGTTGACACATTGTCACCTTGAAACTTATTTAAACTGGGAACTGACATTTGTATTAATTTTGACACTGAATCAATTTGTGGCATTTCAAATCTTTATAAATCCTTTGGCCCCGCATACTGTAAATCAACAACTGTTTGTTTCAAAACAAAATTATTCATTTTACGAGTAGATAAAGGCAATTTTGGTATATAAAGATGCCCAAACAGTTAAATAGTCGGTGTAAGGAACTCGTGGCCTCGTTAATGCACTACTTTGAGCAAGAAAGGGACAACAACGGGCCTTTGTTGCCTTTAAATGCTGTTCAAGAGGTAGGTTACTAATAATTATATGTAATGTATATTAATAATAGTGAAATTTTATTTCATTTTTTGTAGCGTGTTGCTGCTGCTTTAAAAATTAGTTTAAGGACAGTTAGTCGTATTTCCGAGGGTGTGAAAAGTGATGCAAATTTAGAATCGCCCAAGAAAAAGCGGAGTTATATTAAACGTGTAACCAACACAGCGACATTGGATACAAGTGCCATTCGAGAAGTGATCTATAATATGTATCACAAAAGTAAGATCTTATTATAATAACTTATCAGAAATTTGCATTAATTTGTTAACTAAATTATAATCTCATATTACACATGCTTTCAGAAGAACAAGTTACGATACAAACTTTATGGTCTCGATTAAGAGATAGGGCATTATTTGATGGTAGTGCCACGTCTTTAAGGCGGTTGCTTAGAGATCTTGGATTTAAGTGGCTTAAGGACAATCCGCGACGAGGGCTCATGGAACTACCAAGTATAGCTTTGAAAAGGGTGGAATTTCTAAGGCAATACAATCAAGCCAAGGTTGAGGCCTTATACCAGTTTGTCTTCCTCGATGAAACTTGGATATTTCAAAATGGGACCATAGGTCGCTCTTGGCAAAATGGAAACCAAAAAAGCGTGAAAGCTATTAAAACAGATGGTATGTACTTTTACACAATTTGCACTATAAAATTTAAAACTAATATATTTTAGATACATTATATTACATGCTGGAAATGAAAATGGGTTTATTGAGGGTAGTGAAGCGATATTTTCTTCGAAAACAAAATTGAGCGATTACCATGGAGAGATGAACCAGGACAATTTTTTGAAATGGTTTCAACATCAGTTATTAGAAAAATTGGAGAGTCCATCTATGATTATACTGGATAACGCCCCTTATCACAGCATGATATTGAACAAAGTGCCCAACAATGCATGGACAAAAAAAATATCCAAGACTGGTTGACAAATCAAAACATACCATTTTTAAACACAATGTTTAAAACAGAGCTATTGAGTATTGTTGCTCGGTACATAATGCTTCTTAATTATATATATTTTGGTCGACAGTTTATATTTCTTTTGTTTATTCCTGTTCTTAAAATAACTGCTTTTTTAGAAACAAACCACCTAAAATATACGTGATTGATGAATTGGCGGAACAACATGGGCACAAAGTTCTTCGTCTGCCTCCTTACCCTTGTATATTTAACCCTATTGAGTTAATTTGGGGCATAGCAAAAGGTTACTATAACAGACATATTGGTAGAGATGGTAACAGTGAAAAAGACTGTTTGGATATGTGGAACGAGGCTCTACAAACGGTTACCCCAGACATGTGGAAAAATAGTGTTCGACATACTGAGCAAGAAATTTTTAAATGGTATGAAAGAGAACGAATTTTTGATCGACCAGACATCGAACCTTTAATAATCAACTTTGAGAGTGATGAAGATTCAGATTCAGACAGCGCTGAAGAAAGAAACTCCGACTAACTTTATTGTACAGAAAAAGCTTACACCAGTAGCTTACCTAATTTTAGAATGCATTTTTCTGTATGAATTCTGTAAAATAAATAACATGCATAAAATTTGGAGGACCCCATTTGGATTTTTATTCAGTACCTTTAAGCTATCAATTAAATATGGTAGTTTCATAGTGTCATCTGATCAATAATTGTCATACTTAATGATTATGCAAGTACAGATCTATAATTTTATTATACTATTATTTTTGTTCTCATTTGAGGTTAATATTGCTTATAAACCTAGATATGTAAATAATAAATTTTATTATTTTACAAAAAGTTTGGCAACAATGTAAATTTTTCAACACACCCACCTTGATGACGTGCACGCCACTTTGTTTGGCGTTGACTGTAGTCACTGTGGTTAGGTGTTATCAGGCATGGCTTCGAGAAGGCTGTACGCAAAGAGCAAGGAGCACTGGACGCCGCCGTAGAACAACAGACCGTGAAGATCGCCGCCTAAGATTATTGGCCTTAAGGGACCGTTTCTCCACTAATAGGTCCATTGCAAATGAAAGGTTTGCAGAACACGGAAGACCTATTGGCATGCGAAGTGTTTACCGACGAATGAGAAGTTTTGGCTTGTTTTCATACCGGCCACACTGGGTCCTCCCTTTAACTCGAGAACACCGACGTAATCGCCTTGAGTGGTGCAGACAACGGTCACTCTGTAATCAGGAATGGAACAGTATTGTCTAAAGTGACAAGTCTCGATTTTGTTTAGGCATGCACGATGGTCGTGCCAGAGTTAGAAGACGACGTGGTGAAAGGAGGAATCCACAGTTTTTTGTTGAAAGACATGTTCATCACACTGTCGGAGTTATGGTTTGGGGTGCTATAGCTTATGGTTCCAGGTCACCTTTAATCTTCATCAGAGGTAACATTAACGCGCAGCGTTATATCCACGAAGTTCTAGAACCCCATCTTTTACCCTATCTTGACACCCTGGCAGATCCAACTTTCCAACAAGATAATGCCCGACCACATGTTGCAAGAGTCACAATAGACTTCTTTCAACATAATGATGTCACATTGTTACCATGGCCACCAAGATCTCCCGACTTATCCCCAATTGAGCACGTGTGGGATATGATGGGTAGGAGATTGCTCAATTTGCAATGTCCTCCTCAGACTCTAGAAGCACTTCGAGAGGAGTTGGTGGTTGCCTGGAATGAGATACCACAGGAGGACATTGACCACCTGATCAGAAGCATGCCTAGGCGCGTTGGAGAATGCGTAGCACATCAGGGTGCATCCACACATTATTAAAGGTCAAAGGGCTTTAAAGCAGTGCAATCATTTAGAAATTTTTATCATTTACTTATTATGCTTCATTAAGTACTTATACAAAATTTTATTAAAATAAAACCATTTAAACTGGGTATTAGGATTTATATGTCACTTAGTATATATTAATTCGTGATTGCTTTCTTCTAAATATTATCGAATCTGTTTTGTCCCTTTTTAGTACAAGTTTATTCATTGCAAACCATTTCCTCACTGATATAAAGACACCTGCTGACCATTATGTTCCTTCCAGTGGTGTTTTTGTCGTTAATGTGTATGCTGCTATCATCAGCGTAACTAATTATTGCCAAGTCATAGTTCCTAATGCTATCTTACTTATCAACGACCTCCTTTCCTGCACGATCAATCCGATCCACAGCTTTGCTGACGACAGCACTTTACTGCCGGTAAACTGAAATAAAGAAGCAACAACAGTACTATCAAAGAGTCGTTCATTTTGGCTGGTCGGAATCCAGATCACCGAGGACTTGATCCTGCATGAACACATCTCGTCAATAGCGGCAGTCGATGTAAATAGCCTTGGTGTCCTGGTATTTAGGCTTCTGCTTCGGTAATTAGATATGCTGTGGTGATACTCCGTGTTCTTGGGTGCTCCATGATAAGAAAAATGTCACCCGTTCATTTTACCTTGACCTAACAACTTTTTCCGTATTTTTTTTAGAAGGGTAGTGTGTGCGACAAGTAAAGCCTTACGGGTGGCGTTTACTTCAGTTTTGCTACCCGTTATGCTCCCCTAGCTCCAAATTCGCCATGGGTATTTCACGTTAAGCGCGATTTATTGCTCCCCGTTTGAGTTTCGTGCAAATAGAAGAGAGGAAGTGCTGCAAGAATTCGGATGACATGTTTGTTAGAGCAAAAAGGCTGATTTTTTACTGAAAGGAAGCGATTATTCGCAGACGGAGTTTAAAATGAATGCTCGGAGATGCTTTGTTGAAAGTATGAGACACCTTGATGTAATAACTTAGGAAAAAGTCGTACAGCAAATCTTGTCTCCTGTTTGAATTTTGTTGACAATGCAGATGATTGAGACGTTGTTTCTTGGACTTCCATTATCTATAATGTTTTTTGATTTGCGATGTTTCGCTTGATGTGATCTTTAATCGTCATCAGGTGACCTGGAGAACATGTCCCTTTCTTGACTATACAGGGTGGCACATCGAAAATGAAACAGACGCACTTACTGGCAGTTCAGTTTTTTTTTGGAAACGTTAACACGTGCAGCCCCCTGGGCGGGGGTGACACCAACCGTAAAATCTTAAATGGAAAGGGGGGTCGAGTGATACCTTATTTTAAAGGTCTTTCAATTCCCTTGTAACGCTTTATTACATAAATTAACCATGGTATATTCCACAGCAGAAAGAGTTGAAATTATCGAAATATTTTTCGGAAATAATCAGTGCTCTAATAGAACAGCAGAAATATTTAATGAGCGCCAATAAAAAACGCAAAATCCCATAAGGAACGAAGCAATAGAAGTGGGGGTTTTAGGGCAAGTTTATGTAGATCCTACGTTAAGTACCCGCAAATTGGAGACTATGTGTGGTGTTAGTCGACGTACTGTCTAACGGATTCTAAAGGCCCATAGTTTTCATCCGTATAAAATTCACCTGGTACAAGAACTTAATGAAGACGATTTTGATAGGCGATTACAATTTTGTGAACGAATTATAAACGATGAACATTTTCTATTCAACACTTGCTTTTCCGACGAATGTTCCTTTTTCTTAAATGGCGTAGTAAATCGTCATAACTTCCGATATTGGTCCGATTCTAATCCCAGAATTTATCATGAGGTTCATACACAGCAGCCACAAAAATTAAATGTTTTGGCTGGCATTTTTGGCGATCATTTAGTTGGTCCTTTTTTCTTACCTGGAAATTTTACCGGTGAAATGTATTTGAAATTACTGGAAGACGCCATAGAACCTGCATTAACAGAGAATGATCGGCGGTACATTGCGAATAGGTTGATGTTCCAAAAGGATGGTGCCCCACCACATTGGGCATTACGTGTTCGACAATATTTAGATCAGACGTTTCCAGATCGATGGATTGGTAGAAGAGGTGCCTTTGGATTTCTTGTTTCCGAAGTGCCACCCTGTATAAGTATGTATAGATGTCTGTATAAATTCAAAAAACTACCATAAAAGTTATGAGGCATGTGAAATAATAGGTATAATCTCGAAGCCAAGGCCGATCCCTGGGGAACATCCACGTTGACATTGAGGGATAAAGAGTGCCTGTCAATTACGACGCATGTTTTGCGATCACAGAGGACGTTAGCCTCTCATCTACAAAACTGTTCGAGAACAAAATGAAGCTACCACTGCTACCCACGTTGCAAAACTAATGCACAAACAAAAATGAGATTTAGTTAATGCACCAGGGTGAAGTGTGTAGTATTACCTTAACTTTACCGCATATAAACAAAGTTAGCACATGCTACCTTTATATAGATAAATAGTTTACTGCAGTGGGCTCGGAGCTACGTTCTCTACATATTCCCAGATAAAAGTATCTGCGGAACAGTAAAACAGCATCAAAACTTCATTACGAACTTGCCACACCTTTGAAACAAAGTACATTTTAAAAAAATTCAAAGAACCTGACTGCAGTAATTGAGAAAACGACGGTTTAATTGTGCTATCGAAAGAAATCTAGAGATATATCAAAATGCATCAAGCCTTTTAAAGCATAGGCCGTGAAATAAGAAATTCAAGGTCAATTTTTTTATTAGAATCTGCCATTTTGTTCTAACAAAATTTCAGTATAATCACTGTCAAGACAAATCTAGACACACCTCATATGTCAACATCCGTCATAGGGACTATACTACAACTATTTAAAACTGTAATGACTCATACGCGTGATCAACACGTGATCAGAGCTCGATCCCGGCTTCTTTCCAGTACAGCCGTATAGCGTACGACATACGTCGTTTCTGTGGCTTTGCGGTGGTCAACAGCACAGACAGAGATGGAAATAATGGCTGATTGTTCTCCGCCGGTAGAACCAATTAAATCAAAGACGCGCCTCGCCCGGCAGACTCATAGGCGTCGGCAACGCATTATAACGTGTTTCATTGAGCGATCGCATATTGTTGTGGTTTCTGTGGTTACTGTTTTGGTTATACTTAACCATGGAGAGTACAAATATGGCACGAGTGGAAGTACTGAAAGCCAGGGAACAAGTAGACGGCTTCGTAAAGCACTGAAGAGGGACGCGAAAGAAATCGTGCTCAACGTGTTCAATTATCTGAACAGAACTGTGTCGCAGAGAGATGCAATCGCGGGTTGTGAAAGTATGACAGGCGTTCCAGAGTGGACCATTCGCAGGGTGGTGCATGAAAAGAAGAAAACTGGAGCTACTACTGATCCAAAGTTTAATTTGAAGGGACGAAAGGCCGTTAAATTGGATGACGATAGCAAAATGGCGTTAAGGCGAACCGTACATTCATTCTTCTTTAGGAATGAGTTACCAACCCTCAAGGCTGGACATGCAGCGATCAAGGAAAATGAAATTATACCCCAAATGAGCGTCGAGGTAATGAGGAAATCCCTGCACGAAATTAATTTTCGTTACGAAACGCGTAATCGGAAGTTAGTATTGACAGACCTGAAATAGTTGCCTGGCGTCGAAAATGCGCGAAATGATTGAATATAGGCGACAAAGCAGAAAAATCTATTATTTGGACGAGACATGGGTAAATGCAGG